CTAAAACCCTGCAAACCAAACACACCGGCGCTGAGCTCCATTAAACCCTGAGACCAGGAATACACAAACACAATCCAGCACTTCTGTTCACCAGAACACTGATGATGCACACGAGCTCTGCACCATAGGGGAAAACATTATCTGACATTGCGACTGTTTCTTTCGCCATCATATATATATATATATATCGCGATATGAATATAATTTGACCAGATGATTTGAACAGCTGGAAAAATGTCAATAATTTAGATCGACTGGGATGATCATCAGCATAAAACATAATATATTACATACAGAAATAAATAAATTAGACAATAAAATAATTAACACAGAAATTGAACACACGAATGTAATATAACTTGGTCATCACTGTATAAACAATCAACAGGTAATAATATCTTAATATTTCCTAAAATTTCCTAATATTTCCTAAATAATCTAATTCTGCATGAGCAACTCAAACACTGAACCAACACAACTCAACTGTACTCATGCAAAAACTCAACATGTACAGATGTAATATTCGGATATTTCAGATTATTATAATGACCAAAATCAGCATCATAATGAATTCAACATCATTTGTATAGAAACGTCCAAGAGATGCTGGATATTTTATCACTTACAATATACTGGTAAACGTTCACCAATGATGAAACACAAATGGACATACAGTAATAAAAATAAATCCTAAAATTAGTCTGTGAATTGATGTATTGTTAGAGATTCAAGTGTGATAGTTTGCCTGTTTACAAATACCAATTTATCAACATACTTCTCCACTAAATTCACCTCATGACACCAGTCGAGTCTTTAAAATAACTATCTTTTAGTGACCAGACATTGTTTATCATCACAGAATCGATAAGAAATCCTGCTATTTGAGGTGGTAAACGCAATAAGCATTGCGCTATAAATACACTTTCATGCTTGTAAAATACCCAAATAATCCAGAGAGTAATACATGCTTATTGTCTTTATACTTGATCCACTTATTCATTTCTATCATCTTCATCCCCATGCAATCATTCCTCAAACAACATAACTCTTAAAATACTCACTGAGCCGGAAATAAAGAGATTAGTCAAATACTAAATCAACAAGTATAAAAATCCCCAAAATGTCACTCAAATCCCCCTGAAACTCAAGTAAATTAAGGCAGAATCTTCAGGTTCTGGCCCAGAACATTGAGCTCAAATCAAGACAAACTACACCTCAAAACAAAGATTTACAAGAACCTCCAAACAATAACTAAACTACATCAAATACTGAACTGAAACAAACAAACTAATCAACACGTGCACCGCTAAACCCTCTTCAGCCTGTCCTCAAGTCAAATATATGAATGCTGACAGCAGAGAATAAACACCAGCTAAAGCTGAACTAAACATATGAATAATATGAATACTGCCAGAAGCACCTACAAAACCAAAATACCTGCAAAAACAACAAACTCACCAACACTAAGACAGCTCGATTAGTGATGAAGATCCCACATGACACTAGTTAAACCCTGACAAATAAACACTGCATAAATACTGAGCCCTGAACCCTCTGAACCAGGGGTGTCCAAACTCGGTCACAGAGGGCCGGTGTTTAAGCTCCATCTTGCCTCAACACACCTGCAAGGATGTTTCTAGAAAGGCTGGTAAGAGCTTAATTAGCAAGGTGTGTCTAAAAGACATTGACGGTTCTCTAGTTATATTGTTTTAGTGGTGTGATATGCAGTGACACACAGTCAAATGTTTCTCTGAACAGATCCGCCACTTTTGGTGCTCATAAACAGTCATAAAGTCCTGGTGCTGCAGGAATGAGGAGGTGTGCTGAGGGTGCAGCTGTGGTGCAGTGAGGAGTTTGCGTCTTTAATAAACTACGACAGTTTGCATTCATTAAACAGTAAGAATGATTAATAAATCCATATGAAACAGTCCCGTAAGTCACATCTCGATTTCAGTTTCGGTCTAAGGCGCGTTTTGCACTCACACACAAGCGTACCACGCTAAAGCCCAAGTAAACCGCTCTCATGACCACCTCTTTCCAACCGGGCCAGGGCCGGCCAAGTGAACCATGCCTGAGCCCGATTCAGAGCACTCACACTTCTCAAACGATCCGGGAAATGGGCCTGGACACGGTTCGGATAGCATAGTGTGAGTACGCCCTAAACTTTGCAGGACACCGGCCCTCCAGGACTGAGTTTGGGCATCTCTGCTCTAAACAATGCCTAGAAAACAAACACCAACATCTGAAAATATTAAAGTAAACATTAAACACTAGAACTCAAACTGCCTCAAAATAATAAACACACAACATTAAACTAACCTCACCTGACAGCTAAACTACACATACTGAAATACAACATGTTCACACTCATAAAAGAAAATAAACAATAACATTTTCTAACTTACTCAAATACTTAAAACAAAAACCACAATATTAAAACAAAAACAAACACCACAAAATACTAAGATAGCAAAGAATCAGAACTACCACACATTTCATTAAAAGCAAATTAAACTATCTCTAAACACCAAACATTCACTGCCATTAAAGCAAATAAACATGTACATTTCCTCAAAATACTCAAATATTTACCACAATAACTACAATATTAAAACCAAAACAAATACCAATACACCAAACACCCCAAAAGACTAAAACTTAAGATAGCAGACTCAAGACTACCATAAATACCAAAACAAAATCACAATAAACTAACTCTGAAACTCATCTGACAGCTAAACTCAAAACAACAGGTGTAAATACTGAATTATTAAATATTGAATCATTAAATATCACTTAATAACCATAAAACCAAACCAAAAATAAACACCAAGATCTGAAACACTACTAGAACTCAATACAGAAAACAACATTAAACTCATCTGACAGCTAAACTCAAACGCCACATATATAAACACCAAACATTCACTCCTGTAAAATAAAATAAACACCAACATTTCTATAAAATACTTGAATATTTCCCACAACAAACTACAATATTGAAACCAAAACAAACACCACAAAATACTAAGATAGCAAAGAATCAAAACTACCACACATATCAATAAAAGCAAATTAAACTCTCTCAAAAACCCACCAGACAGCTAAACTCATATAAAAATATCAAATTTTTAAACATTGAAGAACTAAATATCCATAAAACCAAATCAAAAAGAAACACCACCTTCAGATGGTGAACACAGACATTGAACACTAGAACTCAATACAGAAAACATCAATAAACCAAACATTAAATTCATCAGACAGCTAAACTTATACACCACATATTTAAACACAGAACTTTAACTGCCATATAAGAAAATAAACACTAACATTTCTCTAGAATACTCAAATATTTACCACAATAACTACAATATAAAAAACAAAACAATCCAGCAAACACCACAAAACACTGATTAAAACTTAAGATAGTAAGGACTTAGAACCCAAAACACCAAATTACCACAGACACCAACAAAATCACATTAAACTAACTTTAAAATTTATCTGACAGTTAAACTCAAAACAACACATAAAATACCCAATTTTCAAACATTAATCCGCTAAATATCACTAAATATCCATAATAACAAACCAATAATAAACACCAACATCTACACATTGAACACCATTAGAACTCCATACAGAAAACAACATTAAACTCATCTGACAGCTAAACTCAAACACCACAAATATAAACACCAAACATTCAGTCCTGTAAAAGTAACCAGCCACATTCTTTAAAATACTGAAATATTTACCACAATAACTACAATATTAAAACCAAAACAATCCACTAAACACTACAGCAGACTGAATAAAACTTACGATAGCAGACTCAGAACTACCATGAATACCAACAAAAGCACATTAAACCAATTATAAAAACCCCATCTGACTGCTAAACTCATAAAAATATAAAAAAATTAAATATTAAACCACAAAGTATCTATAACACCAAACCAAAAATAAACACCACCATCTAAAACATTAAATACTACTAGAAATCAATACAAAATACAACATTAAAGCAAACATTTAACTCATCTGACAGTTAAACTTACAACACCAATATTATAAACACCACACATTCACTCCTGTAAAAGAAAATAAACACTAACATTTCTCTAAAATAATCAAATATTCACCACAGTAACACCCCAAAAGACTGACTAAAACTTAAGATAGGAGAGACTCAGAACGAACTACCACAAACACCAACAAAATCACATTAAAGTAGCTTTAATTTATCTGACAGTTAAACTCAAAAAACAACACATAAAAATACCAATTTTTTAAAACATTATTCCACTAAATATCACTAAATAACCATAAAACCAACCCAATAATAAACACCATCATCTGAAACATTGAACACCATTAGAACTCAATACAGAAAACAACATTAAACTCATCTGACAGCTAAACTCAAACACCACTATTATAAACACCACACATTCGCTCCTGTAAAAGAAAATAAACACTAACATTTCTCTAAAATACTCGATTATATACCACAATAACTACAATTAACAACAAAAAAAAACCAATCACCGCAAAAGACTGACTAAAACTTGAGATAGCAAAGAATCAGAACTACCATAAATAGCAACAAAAGCACACAAACTATCTCTAAAACTCATCTGACCGCTAAACTCATAAGAATATCAACATTTTAAACATGAAACCACTAAACATCCATAAAACCAAACCAAAGCTAAACACCACCATCTGAAACACTGAACACTGCTAGAACTCAATACAGAAAACAACACTAAACTCCTCTGACAGCTAAACTCAAACACCACACATATAAACACCACACATTCACTCCTATAAAGGAAAATAAACACCAACATTTCTCTACAATACTCGAATGTTCACCACAATAACTACATTATTAACACCAAAACAAACACTAATCCACCCCAAAAGACGGTTTAAAGAGGGGCTCTGTTGGCGATATTTCTCGTGCAGAGTGTGTTTTTCGACAAGTGTGTGTGTTCTGGGTGTGTGTGTGTGTGTGTGTGTTCTATAGTGGGCTCCATCGCGGCTCAGTTTCAGGGAGGCTCCGCGGCTCTTTACCTAAAACGGGCATTCACCGGAGCCCGGGCTCGATAGCGGCGGCTCTTACCATGTCTGCGGCGCTCGGTGTCGGTGCGTGCGGGACTGGAGGCTCGGTGTGGGTCGTCCGGTGTGTTTTTTGGGGTGTTTCTGGACGCTTGAATAGCTCTCAGACGGAACAACCCTGCCCTGTCAGCGCTTCACTTCCTCATCCGGGCTCCTGCGCGGGGGAGGGGCGACATGCATATCCGGGTCATTCCGCTCCAGATAGCGCGCGGGCCAATCACAGGCGCCCGAGTAAGGCATGGCCAAATATAGAAGATCAGGGGCGTGGCGGAAGAGCGAGGGGCGGGGCGCGGGGATGGCGCGAGGGGGCGTCAGAGAGCAGAAGCTAAATATAACAGCAGAAGAAGCGCAGGAGGCCAAATATGAGTGACAACATGAAGCACATGGAGCTGCTGAAGCGGCAGAATAACACCTAAACCACGGCTTATGAACACAGTACACACAGAGCAACTGAACATGTGCAAATGATCCCCTTTTCATCTATTTATATTGATTATTACAGATGAGTTAGCTGCTTTGATACAATAATATTGTGAAAACACTATACAAATAATCTCCAATTGAACAAGTGAATTAATCACATCCGAAACAATAAAAGCTTGTTTTGACATGATACATGTGTCTAGTTTTATATTTATTTTGTGCATGAAGTGTTCAGATGCAGAAACCTATAAGTGCCGTCTGATATAGCCTTTAAAAAGCGACCATTTTTCTCAATCTCTTATGTTTATGGTAAATTATTTCACTTTACAGATGATGGAAAAACCCTACTCATCAACATAAATGTA